TCCTAATAGTACCCAAGCTTGAGGATATTCCCTGCTGATTCACAGAAGCAAAAAACAGTGGTGACCATTTCAAATATTAATTGGGACATGTACTGTTAATCTATGCAGTGCCACTCTGTATCTAGGACTTAAAAGTCAAGATCTGAAGAACTTCAGACCAGTTTTCCTACGACCCAACACCAAATTATATAGAAATGACTATGAAAACTTAATTGTACTGGTCACTACAAATGGTCATGTGTCTCTGAGGTGAATCAAGAGAAGAATGCGGCTTATAAAGCCAAAAAATATACCTATGATAGTGTCTAAGATTAATACGGTTCATAATTCTGATGGCTAATACTCAGAATCGTGCTCTAGAAGTGTGGGTAATTCTAGGATTACATTTCTGTGCTTTCATAGCTGGGTTCCTTTTGTCTCACCCTCAACCTTGTCAGATTAGCTATTTTCCAGTGGTGTCTAAATATAGTGTCTTGCTTTGCTACCACTATGTGGCTACAATTCATTAGTTTATGTGAATTATGAGTTTTCATATGACATTCTGCACTTCGCAAGCACTTCCAGAGAGACCCAAATGACTATTTGCACCTACCCAATGTTTTGGAAGCATTGCTCAGGGTACAGATAGTCCTGACCCATGTCTCTCTTCTGCAACATTTTAGCACAGACACATAAATGTAGTTCAATGCCTCTCTAAAACAACGACATATTTCCATTTCTCAAACTTGATAACAAGCTGGGAGGGGTTGCAACTGCTTTGGAAGATGGGATGAAAATTCAAAATGATCTGGACAAACAATCTGAGGTGAACAGAATGAAATTCAATAAGGACAAATGTGAAGTACTCCACTTAAGAAGAAACAATCCACTGCACACTACAAGACGGTAAATGGCTATCTAGGAAAAAGCATTGCAGAAAGAGACATGGGAGGGTCACAGTGGACCACAAGCTAAATACGAATCATCAGTGTAACACTTTGGCAAAAATAGCAGCTGTCATTCTGGGAGCATCATCAGGAGTGTTGTAAGCAAGACAAACAATTCCTCCACTCTACTCCATACTGACTGAAGTATTGCAGCCAGTTCTAGGTACCACAGTCCAGGAAAGATGGGGACAAATTGAACAAGGTCCAGAAAAGAACATAAATAAATAAAGATCTATAAAACATGACCTATGAGCAAAGATTGATAGACCGGGAAACAGAAGGTGGAAGGGACGTAACAGCTTTCAAGTACACAGAAGTTTGTTACAAGGAGTGTAAAAATTCTCAACCTCTGAGGACAGGACAAGTAGCAATGGGATTAAATTGCAGCAAAAGAGATTTAGGTTGGACATTAGGAAAAATTTCTTAAACATCAGGGTGGTTAAGCACTAGAATAAACTGCTTAGGGAAGTTGTGGAATTTCTATCGCTGGAGATTAAAAGCAAGTTAGATACAACTGTCAGATGGTCAAGATCCGTGGTCACCAACCTGTCGATTGTGATCGACCGGTCAATCGTGAGGGCTCGACCAGTCGACTGCGAAGCGTTCAGGCCCCCCCCACCCACTCCAAAGAAGCCCCACTACCTACCTCCAGCAACAATGGAAGTTGTGCCGGCTTCCTGTGGCATGGACTGAAGTCCTGCAGCTGCGTGCCACTTCCAGGGGTTCCGGAAGTGCACTGGCTGCTCCCCTCCCCCAGGTTTGTGGTGTGCCAGGAACTTGCGTGGGAGGGGGGAGGAGTCCCGGGGACTCCCAGTCCCCTGCCCCCAGCAACACCCTGTCCCCTACTGCAGAACCCTGTCCCCACTGGCATCCTGTCCCCTGCTGCAGAACCCTATCCCCTGCCCCCCCATCCTCTCCCCCCAACTGGCACCCTGCCCCAACCCCAGCACCCTTCCTCAGTACCATGTCCCCTGCTCCCACCAGCACAGTTGGGGCCACATTAGTGAGGCTTTCTAGGGATTTGGAGGAGTTATTGCATCCTACTTGTGTGGCCAGTTTGGCACAGTGCCCACACTTTTGGGGAATATGTGCCTCCCCAAGGCAGCGGACGCAGGCAGAGTGGCCGTCCGAGAGCGGCATAGAGTCCCTGCAGACAGAACATTTCTTGAAGCTGGGAGAGCCCGGCATTTTGAAGTACTGAGGGGGCTTGTCCTGCGCCCCTGTCTGCGAGTGACAGTTGTTTGTTTTAATTTCTCTGAATATTTTGTATATTTATTGTATTTGTTTATTATTACTAGTTGGTTTGCTTAGTACCCCAACCTTCCATCAGAGTCACAGCCAGGGTAGCAAGCAGCCCCCTCAATCTACTAATCTGGTAGTCGATAGACATTCCAACAGCTACACGACTAGCTGATTAATCGCCATTTAACATTCCTACTAGGGACACCATTCCTACCCCACCTTAGTAATAGCCAGGGCTTAACAAACGGCGGTGAAATCTACTCACCAGCCCCGCATTGTGCATGCGCACGCTGCCGGTGAACGGGGTGACCGGCTCAAATCTACTTGTCACAGGCAAGTAGAAACAGTGATTTGTCGTGCCCTAGTAATAGCCATTGATGGACTTACACTCCATGAATTTATCTAGTTCTTTTTTGAACCCTGTGATGGTCTGGGCCTTCATAACATCCTCTGTCAAAGAGGATACTGACTGCGTTGTGTGAAGAAATACTTGCTTTTGTTTTAAACTTGCTACCTATTAATTTCATTTGGTGACTCCTGGGTTCTTATTTTATGGGAACAAGTAAATAACTTTTCCTCATTTACTTTCTCCATGCTTGTCATGATTTTATAGACCTCGTCATATCCCTCACCCCCACTAGTCTCCTCTTTCTAAGCTGAAAAGTCCAAGTTTTAATCTCTTTTCATGTGGCACCCGTTCCAAACCCCTAACCATTTTTGTTGCCCTTTTCTGAGCCTTTTCCAATGCCAAGAAATCTTTGAGATAAGGCAACCACATCTGTATGCAATATTCAAGATGTGGGCATACCATAGATTTATACAGAGGCAATACAATTATCTGTCTTATTCTTGATCCCCTTTTAAATTATTCCTAATATTTTGTTTGCTTGTTTGACTGCTGCTGCACGTTGAGTGGATATTTTCAGAGAATTATACATAGCAACTCCATAATCTCTCTCTTTAGTAGTGTGACAGGACAGGCCCGCACAGTGCGGAGGCGCCCCCCCGAACGGCGCTGTATGGCGAGATGCCGGGCATCAGCCGGCTTTGTCCGGGCTGCTCGGCAGCCGCGCAGAACGCTCCGGCGTACGGCGGGCCGGAAGACGTCTGCCGGAGCCCACGGGGGTGTGGGGCACGGTGCCACGGCAACGGGAGGCCGTCCGGGCGCGAGCGGAGGGGCCCCCGGGGGACGCTGGGGTCGAC